GAATAGGCTGCAATTGGACCTAGACAGGTTACAGGGGTGGGCAGATGAGAACAGGATGGGTTTCAACACTGACAAGTGCAGGATACTGCACCTGGGGAGGAAGAACCAGCAGCATACCTACAAGCTGGGGAACTCCCTTCTTGTCAGTGTAGAGGCAGAAAAGGATCTTGGAATCATTTTTGATGCCAAAATGAACATGGGCTGACACTGTGGGGATGTGGTCAGGAAGGCCAACCACACCTTGTCGTGCATCCACAGATGCATCTCAAGCAGGTCCAAGAAGGTGATCCTCCCCCTCTATGCAACATTGGCTACGCCGCAGGAGTAGAACTGCGTCCAGATTTGGGGGCCACACTCCTAGAGTACTGTGTCCAGTTCTGGGCACCCCACTTCAAGAGGGATGTGGACAGCATTGACAGGGTCCAGAGGAGGGCCACCCACATGATCAGGGGGCAGCAGGGCAGGCCCTACAAGGAGAGGCTATGGGACCTGAACCTGCTCAGCCTCCACAAGAGAAGGCTGAGGGGGGATCTAGTGGCCATTTACAAACTAGTCAGAGGGGACCAGCAGGCATTGGGCGAGTCCCTGTTCCCCCGAGCACTACCAGGAGTGACTAGAAATAACGGTCACAAGCTGGCAGAGGGTAGATTTAGACTAGACATCAAGAGGCCCTACTTCACAGTCAGGGCGGCTAGGATCTGGAACCAACTTCCAAGCAAAGTGGTGCTGGATCCTACCCTGGGGGTCTCTAAGAGAAGATTAGACAAACACCTTGCTGGGGTCGTTTGACCCCAGTACTTTTTCCGGCCTATGCAGGGGGTTGGACTTGATGATCTGCTCAGGTCCCTTCCGACCCTACCAACTATGAAACTATGAAACAAACCCAAGTTCACTTCTTCATATGCTGTGAAAGGATGTACAGAAAGCAGACTATAAAAAGGCATGAGAAATTAGAATACAAAAGACAAGGGAGGAGGGAAAAAGAGAGACTGAGGGGAGGTAGCAGTGCTAGTCAAGAAACACAAATGATCAGCAGACCAGCAGACCCATAGCAATAAAGTGGGTCACAAACTAATCCAGCTAATGAGATAAGAATCCACAGTCCCTGTTTAAACAGTGTTGGGCCCCAAACTTCAAAAAGGATGTGGACAGATTGGAAAGAATCCAGTGCAGAACAACAAAAAATATTAAAGACCTGGGAATTTAGACTTTTAAGTGAAAGCTGAAGGAACTAGGGTTATTTGGTCTAGAGAAGAGAAGACTGGAGGGCAATTATAGAAAAGATGAAGATAGGCTTTTCTCTGTGGCTTCTGTGGCCACAGGGGATAGGACTAGGAGCAATGAACTCAAGCTGCAGCAGAGGATATTTAGGTTGGAGAACAGGAGGAACTTTCTGACTATGAGGGTGGTTAAGCACTGAAACACATCATCCAGAGAAGTTGTGGAATCTCCATCCTTGGAAATTTTCAAGAGCAGGTTAGGCAGACACTTGGCTGGGATGTTTTTTGTTAGGAATGTTCCTGTCTTAAGCAGGGGGCTGGACAAGATGACCTTGTGAGGTCCCTTCCAGCTCTATTTTCTCATGATTCTATTTTCCTAATTGCTCCTGAGAAACTGAAAAATACTTCAGAAGGATGATTTCATCTTTCTCTTTGTATCCTTGGGGAAAAACCCCCTTTTAATGGAATTCTCATGTTCTTTCCTAATTGTACCACAGTGACACTTGCCTTTGGTGTCTCTATGACATCTTTTGCTTCTTATAGTTATAAAATCTGAGTTTGTCTCTATTCCTGTTCTTTCACATGTCAGGAAATTCCCACTCATACCCAGTTACCTCTTCAAAGAAAGGAAAGAGGGAGATTGCTGTATCAGGATGAGATTTGGGTTGATAAGTACTTGATCTTTGGCTTCTTGTATAGCGCATATCTCATTGGCTTATTGGATCTGTATAGTGCAGGGATGCACAACTGAAAATTTATTGAGGGCCACTTGCCAGATGTGTTTCTAAAGGAAGGGCTGCTGCTAATGGGAAACATGACACTGCAAACAGGAAACTGGATGCACATGTAGGTGTAGGCACAGATTTATGAATCACTATGCAAGGAAAATATAATTTACAGTGATGAAGAGTAATTTGATTCACTGATTTTTCAAGTCCCTTTTTGCTTCTGATGGTCATAAAACAGCAATGGAAGAGGGGAGGAGAAAAGGATATATGCTATTAAGGAGTTACATAAATAATCAACCTGGAAATTGTAATGCTGTTAGAGGAGCATGGAAGACTGTGATAAGAGACAGTCAAGATTCAGTAAGAAAAGTGAATGGAGAGGAGCTGGGTAGGTGATAAGTGACAGCAACACAGTGGAGAGTTGGATGCAATGCTGCTCAAACGTGGAAAGGAGAAGTTGAAAACAGCAGAAATGGGGGAAACATGGCACCCCACACCCCATGTAGTTTGAGAGGACAGGCATCTGTAAGAGAGGATAGCTACAAAAGAGAGCATCAGTAGATTCAGGTTAGGAACTCTGCCTTTTTTCTATGCACTTCAGTATGCTATGGACACTCCATGCCCACCTTTGACCATAACCCTGTTACTTATACTACCACTGAAAAAAGAAGAGGATTTGTTCTGTGATCACATCAGTTAGCAGAGAGAATGTAATTAAGGAACTCTAAGAGTGGGAGGAATATTCATAAAGACCTATGGAAAGTGGGGCTCAATGAAATGTATACTGCCAACTATTACTAGGCATGCATCTGCTAAAAAGGGACATTTTAGGGGCAATATCAAAATGGGTATTTTTACTCAAATAGCAGATTCATAAAACTATTCATTTTCTGTTCCAATTTCATCTGTTCAGAACAATGAATCAGTTCTAACTCCATATGTGTTTTATTTGCCATAAAGCTGACAATCTGTAATATAGAAACAAAATGTATAAACAATGATTCATAAGTTTAACATTTGATAATAACACATTTACATCTATAGTTACTCCTAGTGAAACTATGGTAAAAATGCTAAACTATATGGCCAGCAAAACCCAATTGGGTCACTGTAGTTAAATGACAGAAATTTAGGGAACTTCAGTAATGGAGATAGAAGGGAGTGGTGGAGCATTCTGTCATGGAGGTGGTAACAGAGATTTGAACAGGAATAGAAGAGAGCAGTTGGGAGCACAGGATGTTGAAAGTTTTGAGTCAGAAAGAGTAGCAGCTGAGAGAGGGGGTATATAACTGAGAGTTTTGGACTAGCTGAGAAATTAGCAGTTGGGAGTGGGAGAATATTGGAAAGTTTAAGCAAAGGAATTAAAGCAGAAGTTTAAGCAGGGAGGGAAGACTAGAAAATTTCTGGAAAAACACTTATGTACAATGTAATTTATAGTAGAAGATGCATTGGTTCCAGGGATCAATTTTATAGCTGTGTTGGTCTGGGGAAAAAAAGATACACAGAGCTCTTGGATAAAAACTACTGCCTTTGATCAAAGAGCTGTGTGTATCTCTGGAAAATGGTTTATATAGGAATATGTATCCACATCGAAATTCCCACCTAGGCATGAGAACTTCGGGGGAGATTTATTTGTGGTTGACCTGATTGTTTGTAATAAAGTTATATCATGAAGAAACTTGACCCTTTATATCCCCACCATAATTCTCAAACAAAAAAAGGAAACCACATCAGATAACGACTGTTTTGGGATATCTTAATTTCTTTCCTTAGAAGCAACGCATCAAAATCTCATTATTAGGCCAAAACTATCAGTGTTGTATACTCCTAGAAACTACCAAAGTGTTCATTAATGTGCTGAGAGTGTTTAGCAGCCTATTCCACTGGAACCTTACTATTAATGATCCATGTATGTGAAACACAGAGGAATACATCTCCACTAAGGCTTTCTATGTCAATATGCAGTATGAAAATGTTCTCAGTGCATCTTTGTAATTGCTCATAAACAACACATGATGCCAACTTAATGTTTTAACATATGAGCTTAATCTTGGCCTTACTGGTTTTAGAATTGGGATCTTCAGTGGAATGGCTACTGAGGTACCTAATAATGAGAATGTTTCACACATTTTAAAAACCATTTTACCTCACTGTTTTATTTAGGATAATTAAAGAGATCCCTTTAATTCCTCAGCTTCTATTTTATGATGAGACATAATAACATCCATTAGGCTGGGATATCAATATACAAGTCAAAATCTTTGATAAAGATTTCTGTCTCATCATCTTAATTTGATATGAGTTTTGCTTAATAAGGTACCAGAATACTGACCTAATTTTTAATTATATAGCATGGAAGCAGGGTCTTACTTACTCTGTTTTTAACTCTTGTTTCTTCTCTCCAGCCCTCACTAACACTGTCTTTATGGCTCTCATACCAAAATCATAATGATCCTAGCAAACACAAAATATAATTATTCATAATACATGTAAACATTACTTAGACTCACTTTACTGTTCTTATAAGGAACTGATCAGATGAAAATGAAGGCAAAATTTGACTCTTATACTGCATGCTTACCAACTATAAATTATTACTACATATGCAGAAAAAAATAATCAAAATAGTTAGCAATAGAAAAAATACATCCTAGTAGTAAACTTGTGAAATAAACAATGGGAAGCTCAGAAAAGTGAACAGTAACATTATCCTATGCCCTGAACAATTTAAGTTTTAGTGACATGTTTTACCTTTTATTGTAAACCCCCCTGACCCTTTTTTGGGGAAGGGCAACACACACATCTAATAAATAAATGCCTTTGCTAGTGAATTTTAATACTTCATCACACCAATTCGAGACTTCCTGATCAAAATCAGTTAATTCACATCATGAAATAAACGCCTGAAAAAACTATTTTCATTATTAAATATGTAGTTGCTAAAGGGGAATAAAATCAGAAGAAAAATGAACCTTGTTTATATGAATTAATATTTTTTACTTACAAAATAAAATTTGTTAAAAATAATTATTGCCTAAGCATAGACTTTATATGCAAAGGTTACATATTAAAGTTTTTTAAACCTACTTAATATTAATATATTTCCTTAAGATATTTTCTTTTAAATTGCTACAACCTAACTTATAGATGCATTAGTAGTGAATTCCACATGTGTTCTGGGGGTCTGTGCATACACATATTCACATGCTAGGTATGTTCTATAATATACAAAGCATACTTCTGAAAAGGATATTTTACCTGTTGTGACAACTGATTGCTAGCTAATTGATAAAGCTTGACTAGTTTCCCAGACAATGATTTAGCTGATTTGAAACCTCCTGAAAATAACATTACTTCAGCAATGAGTTGATAGTCTGGTACCATCATTGAGACAGGCCGAAACAGAGATTTTAAATTGTCTGGGAGTTCTACACGACCTTTGTATCTGTAATAAAACAAATAACCCATAAATCAAGCCATCAAAATTTCTCCCTCTGTTAAGCATGTGGAAGTTAGAATACCATAACAGTAAAAAGTACAGCATGCTATACAGCATATTAAGCCAGATACATCCTTTAACTACAGTGTACTCCATTTAACTGCACAGCTTCGGACTGAAAAACAGCTTTGCACCTCTCCAAACTTAATGGTACCAATAGTTGGTAATTACACAGAACTTTCAGTGCTGTCGTGTAAGCAGTCCCCAAACGGATCAGCTTCCCTCATTTTCAAGGCTTATATTCAGTTTGGGAGCTGCTTGTTAGAAAGCTTGAAAATGAAGCCTTCACTGTTTCTGGCACAATTGAACAGAATGACAGTTAGTTACAAAGCAGACTGGTGCTGAAAGATAGTATGTACTTAAGCATTTTATATACTTAACTGGTATACAGATAACTACATTTTGTTACAATGTAAGCAACACGAAAAATATATGGGTTTTTCCCCTCATTCACTTAAGCAAATTAGATACTTGCCTGCTATATAAGTACGTTACACTGTGTATAGAAATCTATCTGTATCTCTCTAGATCTATAGATATCACACATGTGGTTTTCCATGTGGAAAACTAGTTACCATGAGGTTAATAACTGAGTTTTCCTTCTTAAAGTGATTGTCTATATGTCTTCCATATCCAGTGACTTACAAACAGTAACTCAGTCCTGGAAGTTCATGCTTAGAGCCTACTGAAATAATAACTGCAGAAAGGCACCCTCAAAGCAGGGTTGAGGCTCAGAGGCCTCTACCAAAGAGCAGTACTAAGACAGCATGTTAACTCAGTTCCCAATAAAAGCTTTGCATATCTGTGAAACTAAAACAGCTCATGGAAATGAAGCAGAGACTCTGTAGGCTCCAGTCAAAAGAGAACTAAACTGCCCTGATGCTCATGTCATAGCATGCTTTAGTAGTCCAAGATATAGCTCAACAGCCCACATGGAGATAGGTCACTCTTTTATCCTATCAGCAAACATTTGGAACAGTCTAGCAATGAGGCCACCAGCCTGTTAGGAGCAGTGGGTTGAAATAATGCAGCTTGTTCTGAGGTAGGCAAGGGCTTCTAACCCACCTGCTGACACTTCTCTCTGTTGCCAAATTGCTGCAGAAGTCCATGTGATCTGCCACAGAATCTCCCTGCCACCAAAATGCCACCAACACCCAGGCTTCATGGGCTAGAGGAAATCGCTTGTTGTGCCAAGTTCAGCCCACGGGCTATAACTTGAGGGCCTAGGAGAACTTGTTCTGGCTTTGTACTGTAGAGGTAGTATGAAAGGCATTCCCCAGTCAGCAGCAAAAGCCAAGCAGTCCAGGGAAGGGGACAAGGGGTAGCAAAAGGGACAGAAAAGAGAGAGCTTTGGGATGGGTATTTGTTCCCCCAGATGGGCAAACTGGGCTCTGAGGGTTTTGAAGTACCTGGGATCTGCCTTGGCAAATGGCCCTTGTACTGGGTAGGGGAGGAGCTGTTTGGTCCTCCACGCACGTGCTCTCTCCCCCTGCCCCCAGCCCTTGGGGCCCCAGTTTTCCTACCCGGAGAAGCAAACAACCCCTCCCCTAACCAGTGCCAGGGCTGTCTGCTAAGGCAGCCCCCAAGTGCCTGCAACCCCCCAAACCCGCTTTCCCACCTGGAGGAGCAAATAGCCCTTCCCCTACTCATTCCCAAGCTCTCTCCTCCCCCTACCACTTTTGTTACCCTTTCCACCCACCCCTGGGCTGCTAGGCTTTTGTTGCTGGCTAGGGAATACTTTCCCTAGCCTGCAACAGCCATCAAAGCAGACAGCCCCCTGATCTGGGCACAAAAATGGCACCCCTGCCATGATCGGGCCACAATATTAGTGAGCTAAGCCTGTGATTTAAAGTAGACCCTATTCATAGACAGTTTCTGAATTTCCCTGCTTTTTAGTAGTGTTCTCTAGCCTAAGAAAGGCAGGAGTAAAACAGTACAATAAAGATAATAATAATCTGCAGTCCCTTGTTATGAAGATAACAGTTATACAGATAACAGATTTTTAAAAAGCAGACTTTAAACAGGGTATCTTGGGGAGATAAAAACGGCTAAAGGAGTACAGGATACCTGGTAGTTATGGAAAGAGACTATGTTAAAGGCACAATGACAAACAATCCCCATGCCATCCCTAATGCATTGTGGCTGCATTAGTGACTTTTGAAGGATCAGAAAATCAAAAAAAAAAAAAGGAGAGTCATATAAAATTTGCAAATAAGGGCATATCGTTAAGCATGAATATAAAGGAAAGCATACTGCACTGCACAAGCACACTGGGATAAAACTCAGAAAAGCTAAGGCACAAAAGGATGAAAAACAAGAAAGGGACTCTAACAGGGCAGGTTGTTCCTTTAAGGAGGAAAAATCAGCCCTGTTAAGTGTCACAACCCAAAGGGTGTGATTTTTGTTTTTGTGTGCTTCGGCACTGCTAAATTGTTCCCGCTAAATTATAGCTTCTTTGCACGGTGGAGTTTTCTGCTGCAAAAGAGAACCCCAGTGCAAGGGACAAGTTTCCCGCCAATTTGAAGCTTTCTTTGCAGGGTGCATTTCTTTGTTGCAGCACAGAAATGCTCGTTGCAAAGAGTTCCCGCCATTTGTATGCTAATTCGAGTCCCATTATTGGCCAGTTCTAAATTATTCACACGTGGCGGCTAGTGATTGGCTTGCTAGCCGTATAAAAGGCTTGAGTGGTTTCCGCCCAAGTTGGAGGACTCCACGAACAAGGGAGGAGGAGACTTCATGCTGTGTGAAGATCTCTAAGCGCTGCGGATCCTTACGGAACCAGTGCAGTTAAAGCAGGCAACGGAGGTCTGATCAACCTCTAGCCTCTCCCTGTCGCCGAGCGCAATCCAGACGTATCCCTTCCTGCGCGCAAGAGAACCGGACCCACGGAGCCTAGCAAACTTCATGTGAGCCCTTACGACCGGCCTCAGAGCTCTTCTACCCGGGTTCGAGTCCTGCAGGTTTATCTTCCCATCGCTGAAAACCCTTGCGACGTACCCTCGTGCCCTGCAGGTTCGAGTTTTGTTTTCTTTTCTGTCTGTAACCGCAACTCAAGCAAGCTTTCCAGCCTGCACCACTGCCATCTTGGTGTAAGTAAACAATCTTTTAAACTACCGATACGCGTCTGTGCCTAATTCCAGCTCGACGGCCTTCCCCCTCCAACCCGGCGTGCCCAGACTGCTGGCCACAGCCCGCGTGCAGCGTGAAAAAGGGCTTGGGTCGCTCCCGGCCCGCACATGGCGACGAGGATGGGATCAGGAGAGGGCTCGCTAGAACTGGAATTAGTTAAGAACTGCCCTTGGCACAGTAAAAAATGCCAAGTGAAATGCTTTATGGACTTCGAGGCGCATATCGCTTACCACCAGGCGGGCGGAACGGGGGAGAGATTTGTCAGCCGACGCCTTTCGCTGAAGGGAGAAGAGGGAGCCTCCGAGGACGGAGCCCCAAGAGAGAGAGAGGTGTGTTTGCTCCCTGCGGCGTTCGGGTGTATTATGAGCGACGAGCGGGTCCTGTTTAGGCCCCTCGATGCTGTGTCCCTCGCCGGACCCGACCCGGCAGGCGAAACGAACCCAACCTTCACCCGGGAGTATGCCCGATGCCTAAGATAGGCTTGGAAGAGTGAAGAACTGGAGCCAATCGGCCGGTTCCCTCCCCTCATGGTGGCTAGATTAAGGGG